AGATGGATGGATTGAGGAGAGTGTCTCCGGTGGGGCTCCGATTTCAAAATCTCTCGGCTCGGGTGTCGGGTTCCATAGTTGGATTGCGCTCCAAGGTGGTACGTGGAATTCTGATGTAACCACAGCTGCCTGAGCTGAGGCAAAATTGAAACTTTCCTTTTTCCTGTTTCCGAACAAGATCTGATCCTATTCCTTGTGGTACACATCATCATCCTCTTCATTGTCTTTTTGAATTTTTTTACATATATATTTTTATATTATTTAATTAATGAATTCAACGCTTCAGTTAGTTTTTCTTAATTAACGGTTTTTCCCCTATCAAATTACACTGCGAGAGCCTGTTTGCGCGCGATTTGGTGTTATCTTTCTGCTTTCTTTTCTGGGTTCATGAAATCGGGGTTTTTGTTTCAGAAAGATGCAAGCTTTTTTGAGCTCCTTCGGTGCTCCAGAAATGGGTGGCGAAATACCCTCTTTTTTTTTATTTGGGCTCAATTTATTTACTTTCTTTAAGATTGGTGATGGGTATTCATATGTGGAAGATATGATCTTGAAAGTTATGTATTCTTGGTGGAAACCAAAATGGAGCACTAGGGTTTCTGTTGCAAGTTTTGGGTACCATTGAATATAGTCTGTTTGATGATAATGTCAGAAACCTTGTCTCTTGAAAGCAATTAAAAGACTTCCCGGTTGTTAACCATATAATTTTTTTAAGGGCTTCTGATTATGTTTAGTGAATTTAATTTCTTTTTCTTCTAATTTTTGTGTTTGAGTTAATAGTAGTCCTTTGTGGGACTAATTTGTGATTTTTGCTTGTGTTCGTTATAATGCCAGCGATCAGTACCTTTTTTGTGTAAAAATCACGGTAAGTTTAGCCTTTGAAGGAAATCAAAGTTATTTTCAATGGTTAATCAAATAGCATAGCCAGTTTTCTAGGTATTGTTTATGTGATATTGAGTTGTTTGAATTAATAGGAATGGGGATTCAAACAATGGGATCCCAGAGTAATGGCCAGCAATCTCATTTGCAGCCATCTTCACTGATGAGGCAGAACTCATGGTATGGTCTTACTCTTAATGAAGTCGAAAACCAGTTAGGTAACCTTGGGAAACCCCTTGCTAGTATGGACCTTGATGAACTTCTTAATAATGTGTGGAGCACCGAGTCAGATATGTTGACAGGGATGGACACTGAAAGCACCTCGTCTGCATCCTCTCTCCAACGTCATGCCAGCCTTGCATTGGCTAGAGCTTTGAGTGGTAAGACAGTTGACCAAATTTGGATTGAGATACTACAAGGGCAGAAGAAGAGGTATGGTGATGAGATGAAGGGACGGGAAAGAGAGATGACCCTTGGTGAGATGACGTTGGAGGACTTCTTAGTTCAAGCTGGGCTTTTCATTGGGGAAACATCTTTTGCTCCTACCATAGACAGCACTGATGTAGGGACCCCAAAAAGCTTTCCGCAGCAAATGGTCTTATCACCTCCACCATCCATTGGTGGTTTATCAGACACAACAGTTTCAGGTCACAAAAGGGATGCCCAAGATGCATTTGAGATGACTATTGAGAGGAAGTTAAGAAGAAAGATCAAGAACAGGGAATCTGCTGCGCGTTCACGAGCCAGAAAACAGGCAAGCCTTTGAACTTGATGTTTTGCCCTAATTTATTTATTTACTTTTGATATTTCCCTAATTCTCTGTTTTTGTAGTATACTTGCTTTTATTCACCCATGTAACTTTAGCTGGTTTTGAACAGGCTTACCATAATGAGCTGGTGAGCAAGGTTTCTCGCCTAGAAGAGGAAAATGTGAAACTCAAGAAAGAGAAGGTAGAGTATTCCATCCATGCTAGTGTGTCTCTTTCACCAGTTAATCTCAAATGTTACTTTTTAGAGACATTGTTTCACAGAAAATGCTTTATACAAGTGCTAAATATTAAGACTTTAGGAAGCTAATAAGAACTGCAGTTTCATCCTTTTACATCATATAAATGCAAGTTAGAACTTGTCAAAGTGATTCTTCTGTTTAGCTTGAACAATTGGGTAGGTGAATTACTAATTGCATGCTGCTATTCATCACTGTGGATAAGAACGAGTTCTATTGATTCCAGTTAATCAAAAAAGAGGGGGTTGAGGTGTGCAGAGAAAGTGGAAGGGAAAGGGTTACTGCCTCGTATGTTCTAGCATTCCTGAGTTGAATTATCTGCTGAGAAGCTGGCTGTAAAATTGGTTGTTGTCATTACACTTTTAACTCTTGTATAGGCTCTGTTGAAATTGAATAGTGGGGAATGCTACCAGTTTGAAGTTTTGGGATAGTCACCTTAGATATTTGGAATGCCTGGTTCTAGAAAAGGCAGTAAAATGGGTCTGTTATCAGCTTAATGTGATACTGTGTTAATATTTTTATCTTCAATCTCTGCTTTACCACGCAATGCGGCTTCCTCAAAGCTACCGTGATCTGAATCCATTTTCTCCAATCTTACCTGTTTTGCAGGAATTTGAAAATAAGTTTCCATGCGAACCATCAACTGAACTGAAATACCAGCTAAGAAGGACAAGTTCAGCCTCTTTCTGACTCATCTTCTGGTGTTATGAATTTTGTAGTGGCTTAAATGTTAGGGCTCCCCTGTGATGTTTGCGTTTCTCAATGAAGCAGCTTCAAAAATTATGCAGGCTGGTTATTGCTCATGTTACTAATCCACCCATGTACGACCAACAGGGTTTGGCTTCTTGTACATCCATGATTAATATCTTGGCACTCATACAGCAACAAAAAGGCCATTGTTTATAAGTACAGGCTGTCTTTTTGGCTGAGAGACTGGAAGAAACTATGCTTCTTAGCTTGTTTTAGTTTCTTTGAAGTAAAAATGAAAAAGAAAATGTTGTTTTTAAAGATGGGAGGAGGAAGATGGCATTACTGTGTAGTTGCAGACTGATACAACAAAAAAAACTGAGTATTTAATTAAGTTATAATCACCACAATTATAACTTGCCGTGCACTAATTAAATTTCAGTATCACAATGATCAAAATTGCTGCATTTCATGAATAAGCAGAACAAGAGTTTATATATGTGCATGTCTCCTGCAAATCTCTAATCCCGCAAAGGAAAAGTGTAAGATATAGGTGATCACATGACAGTCAACACAATGACAAGGAGAGCTCCTTGCCATATTTGCTGTGTAAGCATTTGTTTCCCTTCTTGCCACTCTTTGACAAGGCTTCAATGCTAAACCATATCAGTAACTCCAAAAATTAAATTTTGATGTTAAAATAGTCTGCGTCAAAGTGGTGCAATCTTACATAACCATCTTCACCTCCACTTGAGAAACTGTAAATTAAAAAGAACAAGTTCAGATGATGGAATACTGATTCAAGGATGCACACTTCATAAGCAATATATGTATCCTTAAAATCTGCTAAAATGTCATACCTTTTTCCATCAGGGTTGAAAGCTAATGCATTTATAGGTCCAAAGTGCCCTTTCACACCTCCAATTTCTTCTGTAAGCATCTATATGAACAAGCAGCATATTGTCATGGATGGAAGAAATTGCATAGAAAATATATGTGAAAATGCTAATGAATATAAAAGTAGAATTAACCTTGTCATAGAACTTGGCTTCAAACTTCCCAGCACGATGATCAGTGGTTGTGACCGCTGATGCATCCTGACCACCTCCAAGCACCACCTGGAAGCATATAAAAGAAGTGACAAAGTTTGCAACTCATTAATACATAAATCCAAAGACAATCAGGAAATTTGTTACAGTGGCTACTTTATTCACACATACATGGTCAAGAAGTGGAGACATTGCAACAGCATTGACAGGGCGTTCTGTGATGTAGGTCTTGATGAGAGTCAGTGTCCTAGAGTCCCAGAGCTAAATGTTGGGAAACAAAAACAAAATCAAAAGAAACAAAATTGAAACCTAATTCCAATAAATTTCAAGTGATAAAAAACAAAAAAAAATCAAAATCAAAATCAAAATTGAGGGCTTAGCAAGATGGTTACCTTTGCTGATTTATCCAGGGAACCAGTAAGGAAGTGTGAACCATCTGCAGCTTTTGCAAGTGATGTAATTGTCTTTTTATGACCAGTTTCCTCCTTAAGCAGTTTTCCAGTCTGCAAGTTTGACAGAGAACCTCAACCAACAAAATAAACCAGACTAATATAATGTTCAAACCAATTTATCAAATTGTACACCAGGCAACAATCTGGACAAAAAATAGCAAGAAAATTAAGTCATTAAATGGTCATTCACCTCAGAATCCCATATACGAATCACAGCATCTTCTCCAGCACTTATGATAGTCCTGTTCAAGGGTCCCCAAATAGCTCTGTTTATTCTCCCCTGAGGACCCTTAAGTACCAATACAGATTCCCCAGTCTCTGCAAGATAATGAGATAAATGCACCAGAGCCAAGATACAGTACAATTTTCTTGCAGCACAATTCAAAGAAAACAAAGATTCAAGAAACAATAATGATGGATGGTATGACTCCTGCTTTTAACCCAATCCATTTCAATACACACACACACACACACAATTATACAACTACAATTATGCTTCGTCAACCACCAGAACTGTAAACAAATTACACCAGCAGTCGTTCTGCTTCACCATGACCAATCACTCAAACTCATAGTTTCCACCACTAACAGAAAACAATAACTTCCCAGCTACTAGAATTACCTCAACAAAAATTGGACTTTGAATAAAAGAATAAACTCATAACAATGTTTTCCTTGATTACATGGAGACCAAATAATAAGCAAGAAAAACTGGCAGTGTACAACTATTAATCCCTTTTCAAAAAGCACACTAAGATATTCTCAAGTTCTAAAAATGAACTAGAAACCATATGTACTGGGTATGGGTAAAGAAGAACTCGGTCAGACTTCCAAGTGCCCTAAACGTTACTAACATAATTCATTTGGTTCTTCCTTTTCATGATAACTGGCATTACCGACTAAAAAGATAGAAACTTCCAGCACATTTGATAGGAATAGATAGAGAAGGTAGAAACTTAAGGCTTACGATCAGAGGGGTCTCTGGCAATGGGTTTCACATGAATTGCAGAAGTCACATCCATGAAGGGGTCGGCAGTAATGACTGCAAGCTTATCACCAATTGCAAAGTCCACAGACCTAGCTGGAGAATCAAAATTGAATGTATACAACGGCATCCCTGTTTGAACGTTCCATAACTTTGCCGTCTGATCCGCACTGCCAGTAACCAGCATTGTGGAGTCTCCTGCAATTTCAAACGGGAAGTAAATACAGAAAACATCAAGAAAGCAACAAACTTCAAAACTTTCTTCAAGTGTCCGGGCAGAAAGATAGAAGGCAGGCACTTGCTTGAGACGTCACAGGACCAAACAGCGCCATTGTGGCCACGGTAGGTTCCCAAACGCTCGCCGTTATCGGCAAACCAAACGGTGGGAGTATGATCCTTGGCGCAGGAAAACAAGAGATCTCCGTCTCTGTTGTACTTGAGGAAAGTCAGAGGCCTTTCATGCCCCTTCATCAGTATCGGCCTCATCTTTCCGGCGAAGAAGGCAGTGCTGTTGGAAGGAAACGGAGGAGGACGATGTAAGCGGCGGTGCTTGTTGAGGTATGGAGAAAGAATTCGAAAGTGGCGAGCTAGTTCCGGACGATTTGCAGGGTTTTGAGTTGGGTTTCTCTTTTGGCCCAAATTACAGAATTGGGCTGAAGTTTTAAAAATTACGGTCCAAACACTAGAACACTGGGCCTTTTACAGCAGCGTTAGAGGACGGCTTTAAAAACCTCCATTAACATGTCTCCTCTTCCTTTCCTTTTTCTTTGTTTTTTTAAGAAAAATTAGTGTGAACTCTTTTATTTATTATTAGTTTTCTTAATTTATATTTTTAAGGTACAAGTTAATAATATTTTTTAATATTATCATTAAAAAAATAAAATTTAACATTTATTTAATTAATTGTTTAATTAAAACTATATATTTAACATTTGTGATAAAATTAATATCAAATTTTGTTACTTTTTATACCAATTAATATAAAAAAGATATACTAATTATACTTTTAATTTATGTTTTAAGAATACATATTAAATAAATAATTTTTTATTTATGGTTAGTGCACTTCAAAATTAATTTTTACTCATCACAAAATTAATCTCTCTTTTTTTTATTAATTTTAAGGATACATCTCTTACGTTAACTTAATAAATTTAATTTTTTTAAATATCAACTCTTGAACTTAATTTATAATTTATAAAATGATAATTATTTAATAGTGAATTTAGTTCTCAGGAATGGTGTGAACTCATTTGATACCATAGTTAATTCATATTATTAAAAATTATTTATGTATAAAAAGAAATTGATTGTCAATAACTTAAATAATTTAATAATTAATTTTTATTTAAAATAAAAAATTTTAAATTTAAATTATATGATATATAAATAAAATAAAATAAAATAAAATAAAAAATAATTACTTCTCATTCTGAAAAAAAAAAAGAAAAAAGAAAGCGATTTGAACAGATATTTGGAGAAAGAAAACTATTGCGTACCAATTTAAGATTCTACCAAAAAAACAATAGAATATTATTAGTAAAATATTCGGATAAAAATGAGAAGATAAGATCAATAAAGGTATAAGCTTATCACATTATCGTCATCTTTCATATTTTTATTTTATCTTTTGTCTTCGTAATGATGGTTGTGGTGGGCCACATCTTGTCCATTGCAAACAGATTAGGAAGACATTAAAACATTTTAAATTCAATATTGCGTTAAACAAACCTTTTTTTTTTTTCTAATGTAAAATATATACTTTTTTACAGTTAGATTGTTTTGAGAATAATTTGTTGTATTTTAAAATTATTTTTTTAATTTAGTTAAAAGTAAATTAACAAATTAAATTAAAAAATTTATAAAAAATTATCTTTTTATTGACTTGTTCACAAAATAAAATTTTAGTCTATAAAATAAAAGGTAAATTCTACTTATTATCAATTAAGTTACAATTCTTTAAATATATAAAA